TATATATATATGGCACATTGCTCCTTTATTTTATTTTCCTTTTCGAATCATTCAGGGGAAATGCATTCTTTTGGAATGTATTTATTTATATACATTTAAATAAATATTTAAAAAAATAATAATTTCCAATTTCCCCTTGAATGAACTGAATGAACAATTTATTTTTATTGCACTTATATTAAGTTAATTCAAGGGGAAATAGCACTTGGTTCCTTTTGAAATGTTTGTTCTGTTTATTGATTTGTTGGTTTCTTTTGTTTATTTACATTTTTACCAGTCTAAATTAAGCATACACAGGACTGCAGTGCCATACGGCATGCTTTGTGTGCGTTATGAAATCATCTCTCTCAAAATGCTCTGTTAGATCATTGACATGAATCGTAGCTCTACAGAAATAACAGGAAGTTGATTTGTGGCTTCTGCTCTCTTATGCTAACCGCCCCAAACCAAGGATCTGTTTTTGAGTTCGAGCTGATCATTATCATCTCTCACGTAGTACTGCTGTTGTTTTCAGTTCACGTTTTCAGAATCGTCATATTCATTGCGATAGACCTTTGAATGGCAGCGTAAAATGTTGCTCAAACGTTCATGAGCCTTGTTCATGTCTTGAATTCATGTCCTGTGACCAAAACATGAAATCATGCACCAGTGCAATGGGACTGTTTCTATGGCAAGAACTGAGCAAAGTGGAAGTTGTGAATCAAACACTTCCACTGGCATCTGATCATTTGGTGCAGTTACAGTTGTTCAGATGTTTTTAGTGTATAAACGGCGTTTGTTTGTGTGTTTTGTCAGTGTGTCGGAGCTGCTGATGGGGGAGGTGGACAGCAGCACACTGTTGTCTGTGTTGCCCTCTGAGAAGAGCAGGGTAAGTGTGTGTCAGTCTCTGTTCAGAGCGGATGTTGGCAGCAGGAGTTTAACTTCCTGAAAGTGCCGTTCTGTGATTAGTGTCACTGCTCTGTGACGCAGTTGTCCTCGTGAAATAAGACTCACATGGAACACGTATGACAGATGTGTATGTTGTATATGTGAGACAATGTGTGATATAAATATTTGTGTTTATTCTCTTTGAATGTTCAGTCTATGGAGAACCTCTCGGGTCATGATTCTTTACACACACGGAGTGATTCATCTGAGCTGGGTACATTTTAACAAATTCAGAAATGCAGAAAAGCAAGTAGGAATGCACTGATATAGATACAGAGGATTTTTTTTTTTTTTTTGAAGATATAATTTTATATATTCAATTTTTATTTAAATTGTGTATATATATTTTTATAAATTTATAATTATTTATTTGAACTGATTATAATTCTGGTGCTACGTTATTCAAATAAAGTCTTGTGCAGAACATTTAAAATGATAGAACTGTTCTACAGAACATTTTAAGAGAACTAATAATAAAATTATTTATTTGAGATCTTTACAAAATCTCCTGCAGAACACATTTAAAATTATGAATAATAATTTTATGTATTTATTTTAATATCATTTATTAAGATAACTTGTTTAAAATAATACATACATACACAAACACAAACTTGGTGTCCTGCAGAACATGTATTTAAACGCACATTAAATTTGTTTTTATTTTTTAAAGAATAATAATTAATTTATTATTAGTAGTAATATACTAAATAAAATTATTCATAATTTTAAATATATGTTCTGCAGGAGATTTTGTGAAGATCTCTTATGCATGCATGCATTAAATAAATACAAATTATTATTATTAACAGAACTCAAGTTTCCTGCAAAACAAATAATTGTATCTTTTTATGGTTGGTATTACAAATTTATTTTTTCTAAAGTGAAACATGATTGTATTCCTATGCACGCTGGCAGTGATGAGCGCTGAAGAGGTGGACATTATCCTGCAGCGCAGTGAAGGAGGTGTGGACTCGGCTCTGACGTACGCTAAAACCATCTCCAAATACATGAAGGATCTGATCAGCTACGTTGAGAAGAAGTTTGCGCTAGGTAGGATGAATCGCGTGTGGCTTTAGTGATATGATGGCTTGATTGAAATTGAGTTTTGAAGTGTTATATGAGAGATTGAAGTAAAGTGTGTAGTTTTGGATAAAACGTATAGTTCTGATTCTAAATTCTGACTGGTTGAGCCACGTTCTGTAGCTACTTAATTTGCTTCTTGTCATTAATGTATGTATAGAGCTGGAGTTCTCCAAGGGCTTACAAAGGATCTATCAGACTTGTAAACAGACCATCACACAGGTGAGAACTGACCTCGCTCAAAGTCTTCAGGATTGGTTTGCTCCCTTCCTCATCCGTCTCTCTTTGTGTCCATCAGCCACACATGCCCTTCTTCTCCATCTACTCTCTGGCTCTGGAGCAGGACCTGGAGCAGAGTGCTGGGATGCAGCAGGCGGCCTCCACCCTGCAGAACCAGACCTTCATCATGGTACAACACCAACATGTCCACCTTTTGTCGTCCTCCTAATAATAATACTAAGAAAATTATTGTTAACAATTATATATGATTAATGTAAATTAAATGTTGTTGTTGTTAACAATAACATTAATACTATAAAAATTACAGTAACAAGTTATCAACGTAAATTAAATGTATGTATTATTATTAGCAACAATACAATTTATAGTAATACTTTAATAATCACAATAAGAATAAGTTATTATAATTAATGTACATTAAATAATTTCTTGTTATTAAAAATGTAATATATTTTGTCATTTATGTTCTGCGATAAACCTTTTAAAGTTCATTTTATTTTTATTAGAAACGACAATTAAATTTATAATAAAATAGTAATAACTTATTTTAATGTAAGTTAAATAATAATAAAATATTATTAAAAATACAATACTATTATTTGTTAAATATATTCTGCAAGAAACTTTAAAGTTCTATTAGTTGTAGTAACAAAATCAAATGTATAATACTATCATAATCACAATAAGAATAATTTGAAATGTATTAAATTAGTTAAAAATACAATTCTTGTTGGTATGTTCTGCAAGAAAGTTCTTTTATTAGTAGCAGTAGTAGTAACAACAATATTAATACTACTGTAATCACAATGTTATTATGATTTATGTAAATTAAATGTATTATTTTTAAATATATCATGGTAATTAAATGAATTTTATTCTTTAATGTTTTGCAAATAACGTGTACACCTTTTAGAAGTAGTTTGTGTTTATGCATATGTATGTGTGTGTGTATGTATATAAAAAAATGCACATCTAACAAAAGAATTAATTTTGTTAATTAAAAAAAAAACGTTTGCCAAATGTAACTAATTTACTAATAGTTTTAAATTAACAAATGTATACGTTTTAAATGCATTGCATTACAAAATTGAATTACATCAATTGAATTAGCATTTTTGGGTGCACCAAATGTAACTAATTTAATAATTTAATTTTAAATATAATAGAATGCTATAAAATGATAAATATAACAATTTGCATTTAACAAATGTATTAATAATATAATGTAAATGTTATATATTTCATTATAATAGTTAAATTATATTACTAATACAAATATAACCATTAGAATTTTTCCCAATTAACTAAGAATGTCCTTTTTATATTATACTTTATTATATTAAAATGTAATTATATTATTAATACAAGCAATTATGATTATATTAATTTTGGGGGTCCACATAAATGTATTTTAATAGGGCTTTTTATGTTCTGTTATATGAAACTTAAATTAATTTGACAAATTTAAATCAATAAATTAATTTAAGCTTTATTCATCAATTAATTGAACCTATTAAAGTTTATTAAACAATTTAATTTAAATACATTTTATAAATTCAATTATATTAAAATCTGATTATATTAATATATATAATTATTCAAAATTGTAATATATATTTTACAACGTTGTTTTCATTATTTTAATACATAATTCTGATTAAATATTAGATCAAATTAGTTAATATGATTAGATAATATAACACATATAAATTTGTTCCTGCATTTATACAGTTCCTAATTTATAAATATAATCTAATAAAAAATATATTTGTTTATATTTTAAATGTTTTGTCATATGTACAGTATGAAGGTTTTTATTTATAGATGTTTGGGGCTTTCAAGAGGTGCTTGTTTGGTTTAGTGTTTTGGGTATGTTTGAATATCCAAAGTAGTTATGCAAATGGTTCTGAATTGTTTTTTTGTTTTATTGTCAGCTCGAGGTCACATGACCCACAAATCCTGGGGCTCCACAGTGAGCGACACAGACAGTGTGGGAGGAGGAAGTGGCCTGGGGTCCCCCACTACCAGCACAGGTACAATTTCTTGCCATGACTAAAATATATTAAACGTAAACATTTACTATAATATATAATATTGTATTTTTATTTATTTTGTAGGTGACATAAGTAAAATGGCCCGAACGTCGTCTACAGGAACCATGTCATCTAACGAAGACGCAGAGGAGAAAGACTCAAATGTTACTTCCTTTGAAACGCCAAGTGAGATTAAAATGATGCACAAGTGTTTTCCTTTCTAATCTGTGACTGTCATCTAGTTTCTCACTGTCCGTTCAATATTTTGCAGACATAAATGGCATCGAGTCTGAGATTGTGGTTCCCACCGGGCCGTTCCGGAACGTGGGGCTGTCGAAAGCCGCTCAGACGCACAAACTGCGTAAACTGCGCTCCCCGTCCAAATGCAGAGAATGCGACAGCTACGTTTATTTCCAGGGAGCCGAGTGCGAGGAGGTGAGGTCACATCGGCTGCGCTTTGGCCTTGTTTTTTTTTTTTTATCAAGCAGGCTGTTTCAAGTGTGACTTGCTCTTGGCAGTGTTTCCTGGCCTGTCACAAACGCTGCTTGGAGACTTTGGCCATTCAGTGTGGCCACAAGAAGCTCCAGGGTCGCCTTCAGCTGTTCGGGCAGGATTTCTCACAGGTGTCTGGCAACAGTCCCGACAGCATCCCCTTCATCATCAAGAAGTGCATCGGTGAGATCGAGAGAAGAGCTTTGAGGATGAAGGTATGCAAGCGTCTGGTCAGATCCAGCAGATAGAAATGCAAGATGGTTCTGATCGTCCTCTTCGCTGTCAGGGTATTTATCGAGTGAATGGGGTGAAGACGCGGGTGGAGAAGCTGTGCCAGGCGTTTGAGAACGGCAAAGAGCTGGTGGAGCTGTCCCAGTGCTCGCCACACGACATCAGTAACGTACTGAAGCTCTACCTGCGACAGGTGAGCCACCACTACATCAGGACATTTATACAAAATCATTTTATATAATATTGTGGAAATTGCATTTTTGTTTGGTTTTTGTATATTATATAAAACTTACAAAATATTATTATTATTATTGACAATTTAACAGTTAGCATTTTTGGTTCACCCAAATGTAACTCATTTATTAATAATATAATTTATTTTGCATATATAGTATTTTTTTTTGTCTATTAAAACACTTACACTACTACTACTCAATTTATACATTTTTCTATTAAATTATATTATAAATATAAATTATATTTATATAGATTATATTAAAACACCTAAAATTTGCATTTGTAGGGTTCACCCAAATAACTAACTTATTAATTTAACTTTTTTTTTTCTTTCTGCTATCTACATTTAGCAATATCTTTGAACATATGGCATGAAATGGCATTTTTGGGTTTTGTATATTATGTACAATTATATGAAAATTAAATTATATGAATGAAAATATAACATTCATATATAAAAATATGCATTTTGAGTTATCCTAAATTTAAATAATAGTCTAATAATGTACTCAACTTTTAATATAACAGAATGCAGCATATGAAAATATAACAGAATTAGCATTTTCGGTTCCCCAAATTTATTAATATAATTTAATTTTTAGATATATTATATTTATAAATATAATTAAAAATGTTATATTTTTCTAAAACTTTTTTTGATAATTAATAAAATAGTGTACTTTATATTAAAATTAAATCATATTATTAACACTTAGAGTCAATGTAACTAATTGATTATTTATAGAATAGTGTATTTTTATTTTGTATGTTATACTGGATTTTATTTTAATTTTCAGTTATTAATCCATATAATAATAATTATTATTATTATTATTATTATTAATATTATCCCTTTTTTGCATTCACCAAAATTATAAATAATTTATATAAATATTTATATATATATATTTTTTAATATTATAACATCTTAAATTTTTGATGAACACATCCTTTAACAGTTCCCTATGAATAAGTTGCCTTCATTGTTAGCAGTGGCTTTTCATATCCTCCTCATACGTTCACCACAGTCAGTTGTTACATCCTTATTTTGTGTTTTTGATTTTTCCTCAGCTTCCAGAGCCCATCATGCCCTTCCGTCTGTACAACAGTCTGATGGGTCTGGCGAAGGAAAGCCTGGCTGTAGTGGGTCCAGAGGGAGCCGAGACGGGCAAAGGGCCCGACCTGGTGGACCTCGGCCCTGAGACAGACCCTGAACTCTTGGCCCTCGTGGACAGACTTAAGAATCTCCTTAAAGAGCTGCCCAAACAAAACACCGCCACTCTCCGCTACATAGCGCGCCACCTGAGAAGGTGCAAAATATAGAATTGACTTCCTCTCATGTTTCTGGGTTTATAGACTTACTTTGCCAAACTCTGTTTTTATTAAACACTGATTATTTGGTTAATGTCCCTGTTTTCAGGATTGCAGAACTGGAAGATGACAATAAGATGAGCCCGAGCAATCTGGGCATCGTGTTTGGCCCCTCACTGATGCGGCCCCGGCCCTCAGGGGCCACGGTGTCTCTGTCGTCTCTGGTGGATTACCCGTACCAGGCCCGCATAGTGGAGACCCTCATTGTGTTTTATCCCTCCATTTTCCATTCGGACTCCAGTCGGCCGGCAAGCACCAGCACCCCCCGCACACAGTCCCTACAGCAGGTTTGTGATCGGCTGAATCTCTCATGTTGTGCAAGTGATGTGTTTTAATGCGAGGTCAACTGGTTAAAACGCTAATGCAGAACAAACGTGATGATTTGGTCTGTGCAGGAAAGCAGCATTGATGAAGAACACTGTTCAAATGATGAACAAGGAGTCACAGATGAACCCGACGCTGCAGAATCAGACAAATTAGAGGGCCATGGTATAACATTTCATACTTCTATTCCTAATATTACTGGTTTACATTGTTCAAATGCATTGTGTGTGTATATATTTTTTGATTTATCTTTTGATATTTTAATTTAAATATTTATTGTATATTTGTTTATTTATTTATTTGACTTTGTTTATTCATATTAATTTATTATTTATTTAATATAAATTTTATATATCAACATTAATTTTACTCATGCAGGTTAGTATATATGTTTATTTTATTAGCCTTTCATATTAAATTTAAAATACATTAATTTATATTTATGAATATATTTAAATACAATTCACCATTATTTTAATATTTAAAAATATTGTATGTTTATTGTCATTTATACTGTATTTTTTATTGTAATTTAGTTTTTCACTTTATTTTTGCCTTTTATATGAATTTTATTTAATATAATTAATAGTTAAATATATCACCATTATTTTAGTATTTTATCATATTTGAAACTCATTTTGTATTTGTTAGTTTTTCATTTTATTTATTTGCCTTTCATATTAATGTACATCAATTTAATATTTGTAAATATATTTATTTACATAAATATCACCATTATTTGAATTTTTAAAATGTACATTTTGTATTTAATACTCAGTTTTTCATTCATTTGCCTTTCATGTTTTATTTAATATATATATATATATATATGTGTATGTGTATATTTAGTGTGTGTATATATATATATATATATATATATTCATATAAAATTAATATTTTAAATGATGCATTTTTATACTCATTTTTCATTAGCTGCCTTTCATATTAATGTTAATTTTATATTTGTGAATATTTACATAAATTACTATTTTAAAATATTTTAAATTTATTGTATTTTTATACTCATTTAAGTAGATGTTTAGTTTCATTTGACTATTAAAACATTTTACATATATAATTATTAATATTTATTCCTAATATTACCAACAAAAAAAATAATTCCAATAAGCATTTTTGCATTAAATTAAATCAATAATATGTGATATAAGAAAAATGTGTTTTGTCATGTCTCAGCAGAGAGTTCACCAGGAACCCCTGGTTCTCCGGAACACAGTCTGGACTCCGATTCAGATGCAGACGAGGAACGGGGCAGAGGTGAACTTCAGCCCCCCAGTCCTACAGACCAGGCACTGGGCTCTACCACCGAAACACAAATGAGGTTGCCCATCCTTCTCGTGAACCTGCAGTGTCCCTCCAGCTCAAACAACAGCAGCAACCCGCCTGCCCTCCCTGCGAGTGAGCCGCCCGAGTTAGATGAACCAGAAGCAGCACCAACAAGCTCGCTGGCAGCGCTAAACATCAATCAGAGTAACGGCACCTCCACAACACTCACTCTTTGAGTTCAGCCAGGGTTCGTCTGTGATGTTCCAATATATTTTTAAAGATGCGTTTTAATATTTAAAATACTTCGGCTTGGAATCCTGCAAAAACGTAGATTTTTAAAAATGTTTTTAGCTTTATTTTACGATAACAGTGGTACGCTTCCGGTGTCATCATGCATTGTATCTTATGAGATCACCTTGCACTCAGTGTTGATGTAAATCTGTTGTTAAATTTTATATGTTTGTGCTTGTCTTTTAATAATAAAATATGAGTGATTTCAAAATAATCAGTATTTAAAAACAATGCAAACTATCGGGAGGTCATGGTTATACAGAAGTTATCAGACAGCATGGTAGCCAATGAGGAAGAGGTTAAGTTGAATATATTTGCTTGTTGCTGTGTATATTTGCACTTATCTCTGTCCGCTTCACGTTATTTCCTCCCCCATACAACAATGGCTTTCAGAAAGAAAAAGGTGAGTCGGCTCTCTCTACTTTTAGGTTTTGAGGCTTGTTCATTTGAGACCAAACTAACATGGTTTTTAATAAACCAAGCTGTTAAATGAAGTGACACAAGAGACAGACTAACAATCATATTTATTAGTTAAAAAAGGAAAAACTTTTAAAAAAGACAATTCAGACCATGTTCACTTTCAGAAGTTGGAGAAAACTTCAAACCTGTCAAACAAAAATTGAATAATTAATTCGGTGTTATTAAACACAAAATATGAAACATTTACACTAATTGAAAAATTAACAGATTTTCAATTATTTCAGTCTAGGCATGGGCCGGTATGAGATTTTGACGGTATGATAACCTTAAGCAAAAATATCATGGTATTGTCGTTACAGCTCTAAAATGTGTTATTTTTAAATGACTGGGTAAAAAAATTACAAAAATTCCCGATGAACACAATATATTTAGTTTTTGAGCAGCACACAGAATATTAGGAACAGTAGAATGTTTATTTTTTCTTTGATTTGTTTCCTAAAAAGAAGAAAAATAAAGACTGACATCTTTATTTAACCCAAATCTGTAATTAGTTATTTAATTTTAGTTATATAATTCCTATACATATTAGGGTTGTGACGGTGAGAATTTTCCCACCGGTTAATCGGCGTGTGACAACACGGGACGGGGCATTCCCTCTTTTCCTCAGCTTTTAAATAGCTTGTAAAAGCGGTGTGCCCATTTTACTTTCACTTTAAAATAACAGCAATTCGGAGTGAAGCAATTGTTCGTTTGAATTTTCCCTCTTTTCCTCCGCTTTAAAATGGCTTAAAAGCTCCGTGTGCATTTTACTTTAACTTTTGAATTAACGGCAGTTCGGCGTCAATTGCTTGAATGCAACAACAAAATACAACGTCAAACTCACTTTAGCCTATATATATAAAACATACACCTTTTATTAACTAAACAAATAAAAATACACCATGCTATAGGGCAAGCTATGCCTAATATAAAATAACAAATAACTTACATAAAGTTTAATAGGTATACAAAACTGGAAATAAGTAAACATGTATAATATATAACCAAATAAATAAGAAACGTAGAACGTTTATTAGCAAAACGAATGTCAAATAAAATTTAAAAAATGACACGGTTTAAATAAAGTAAAAATCAGCAAACACTGTGGAACCAATTAAATAAGAAACTAATGTTTAAAAAAACTTCCAAAATCACCTTAGATGAACAGCAAAAGTCAACAGGCTTTTCAAAATCCAAAATACTGCCAAACAGGCGCTTTTGCATCTCGTTTCGAAACTAAATCATCCGCGATCGTCTTGTCTGTCTCACCCCTCTTCTTGTCAGTCAGCTGGACTCACTCTCCTCGCTGGAGAAATGAAATCTGATCTGTGATGCGACTGTCGTTCGGCACACTGCATTGAGCAGCCGCGTTCAGTTTTTAATTGTAGTGTCTGTTCTTTTACTGAACTAAATGATTTTTATTACTATAAAAAATCTAAACGACGGTGGGGGTCGGTGACACGGTGGGCAAGAGACATAACCGGTATCACCGTCTATCGCGGCAAGCCTAATACATATTTATATAATTTCATATACATAATTTGAATTAATAATAACCCAATTTGAAGCAAAAACAATGTTCTGACTAGCTTTGTGAAATTTTATTACATGCCTGAACGAAATAAACAGCAGAAGCTCTGAATGAGATGCATATTCACTCTCTGACAGCAGGAGGCGCTTCTGGAACACCAGATACGGCGTTTCCTTGGTTAGCGCTGTAAACAAAGCAGCGCTGCGCTGACACACTGCTTTAATATTAACTATACAGAGACCAGATTAAAAGAAAATACCATGTAAACTTTTCTGAAGACAGTCAGTTCCCCTCAGAAACACATTCAGATAAACCCCTAAATCAATATTGGATTTTCTTCCAGTAGTTCGTGCATGAACAGTGAGTGATCTGCCTGCTACAGTATTTTTCTCTGTGCGTCCGTCTTCAGCGTCTCTGGCCTGTCAACGGGCTTTTACAGACTTCATATTTTCACATAAATGGGCGGTTGCCGATCGCGTAAGTTCCAGGGGAAGCTCCTTAAGTTTGTCCATCCTATACACACGTGACTGACCGCTCGCTCGCACCAACAGGAGGAGGAGGGTCGTGTTACTCTCTACACTGCACTCAACCTGAGGGATTCCTACACTTTCAGTCTTTGAGGAGACATGAAAAACCGTGCATACCGCAGAAACGGTATAACGGAAAATATTAGCGGTTTTGAAACCGTGAAATTTTCACATCACAGTATACCTTGAAACCGGTAATCGGCCCATGCCTATTTCACTCATTTAAAGACAAACACCAAAATTACAAAGACTTCAAAATGGAACGTATAAGAACTAATTGAAAACAAAAACACTAAAGACAGTATAGTAATGATACTAAAATAACACTGCATCACAGATTTGCATCTTGAATTCAGATGATCAATACTGATATACAAATTCTGAGGTATTAATGACAGGGAATAAGCTGAATAACATCAAAATGGAGTTTGTAAGCGTTAACCAAACACTCCAGTTAACTACAACAGAAATACTGACTTGCTCGGGATCACTGGACCAGTCTGTATGTGATGTACCGTCCAGCAGTTTCACTCGGTCTGATGATCTTAACAACCTGCAAAACATGCCACAAGTTATTCACTCCAAACACTCCGAGATGAAGATACACATTCGAGTTCCTACCTGGCCTCTCTTCAAGCCGAAGTAACGGGCAACAGGATCCCCAGCTTGAATTCTGGGAAGCTGGCTTTCCTTTAGTTTACTGGAGAGGAGCTGGTTAAGAGATACTAGAGATACTTCTACAGTAAACCATCCAACTGAGTCCAATAAACCAGGGTTATTATAGTTAACTAAAACCATAAAAAAAGATTTGCTACATAAAATAAACGTAGCCATTGACTTCCATAATGTGGAAGTCAATGGCTACCATCAACTGTTTGGTTACCAATATCTTCTTTTGTGTTTAACAGAAGAAAGAAACAACTTGAGGGTGAGTAAATTGTGACATTTTCATTTTTGAGTGAACTATCCCTTCAACTGAAATAAAATATAAAAAAATATATATAGTTGCCAAGGCAACATTTCTTATTTCCTCATTTTCATTTAACTTGACTAAAATAAAAAACTAAACATTTTAAATAATTAAAAAAATAAACACTCAAAATATGAATAAAAACTATAATATATAATTGATACTAAAATAGCACAGCTATAAATTTCACCCAAAGCTCAAAGGATACTACCGTGCCAGCAACTCGGTCACTTCCTCTTTAGTCATGACTATGTGCTCTGGAACAAGCTGAAAGAAATTAAAACATAATTATTATTATTGTGTAAATAACATCAAAACATTAATGTGTAAAACTAGCATTTTGTAAATTCTGTAAAAGGCCAAATGAGTCGATAAAAATTTTAAACGCCTGTTCACACTAAGAACAATAACTTATCAGCTTTCGGCGGTAACTTTCAGGGCTATAGCAACTTATATATTATATACAACTTAACAATAGTATATATGATTACAGTATAATTATCAAATATACTTACAACTATATATATATATGTATATATATATATATATAGTTGTATATGTTAATTATGAAGCACTATTTTAAGTAATATACTGTATAATAATAGTAATATTATTCTAATGTTATTTTTGTCATTTAATAGTTGTTGATATATATTAATTATAAAACACTATTATAACAAGTGTTATAATGTTTATTTATTCTAATATATTTATTATATTTTCTCATCACACATCATGCATTTTCTAAAATGTGATATTTCTTATTATATAATTAGCATCAAACAAACTATATAATTCTTGTTCTCAGTGATTAAAAGATTAAACAAAAAAAAATTTGAAAAATTATTGCACAACCATCAATTAGGTGGCAAGATGCAGTATGTATGTAAATGAAAGAAGCAGTGCTTTTTCTTCGCCCATGTTGACTCGTTGATTCGTCGCTCTATTGAGAATTAGCCGTTGAGTTGACTGAACTTACTCCCGGACGCGTTTTTGGAACCAACATACCTCAAGTAAGCAAGGTTTGGGTTAATCAACAGAGTTCAGGGTATGTGTGACGATAAGCCAACCTTGCTTTCTGGAATACACCCCAGGTGGATTCTGATTGGCTGTCAATGTTTTTATCATTCAACAGTTGAAAACATCGTTCTTAACTAATATGAATGATATTGTTCTTAATTATAGTTGTAATGTGGACTACCATATATTCTCCCAAACAGGGCCGTTCTTAGGGGGGTGCAATTGATGCGGTGAACGGACTACCTGAGGATCGATGAAAACACTGACAGCCAATCATTCAGAATCAACCCAACTTTAAAAGGCTGTGCTCTTATTGTCAGTTGGTATGAATGCTAATATACCCAGATAGCACACGTACGTCTGCAAGATGTCTGTTAAAGATCGTTTCATCTGGAAAGCATCTGTTGTGTACAAACATCTGATAGACATCAGTTTTACATACATTCTAAATTAGGGTGACCATACGCGCCAAGTAAGAGCTTGATTAGCTGGTTCAGGTGTGTTTGATTGGGGTTGGGGTTGGAGCTAAACTCTGCAGGACACCGGCCCTCCAGGACCGAGTTTGGACAGCCCTGTCCTAGACCAGGGGTTGCGAACGTCGGTCCTGCAGAGTTTTGCTTCAACCCTAATCATAGTTTTAATTAGGGTTTTCCAGGACCGAGTTTGGACAGCCCTGTCCTAGACATTTAGAAAATGTCTAAGATGTTTAACGCGTCCAGGGAAAATGGCACGTATGGTCACCCTATTCTAAATCAAACATCTTAGACATTTTCTAAATGTCTAGGACAGGGCTGTCCAAACTCGGTCCTGGAGGGCCGGTGTCCTGCAGAGTTTAGCTCCAACCCCAACCCCAATCAAACACACCTGAACCAGCTAATCAAGCTCTTACTAGGCATACTAGAAACTTCCAGGCCAGGCGTGTTGAGGCAAGTTGGAGCAAAACTCTGCAGGACACCGGCCCTCCAGGACCGAGTTTGGACAGCCCTGGTCTAGGACATCTGAAGCCGTACTGCAGATGAGCAAACACTCTAAAAAAAAATAAAAATAGGTCTTGCAAATGTAAATGCAGACGTCAAATAGACATCTCAGTGATGTAGGTGTGCTATCAGGGTAGTGAAATCGTTTAAACAGTCCGCTTTAACTGCAGCGTCCTCACCTCGTGTTCGGTAATGTTGATTAGAAGTTCCTGCTGAAGAAATTGCTCAAGTATGTACTTCGGTGCCATGTCTACCAGAGACTGAAATTTGAGAGACCAGACACATTATTTAAATGCCTCAGTAGTTAGTTGACATCTAAAGGTAAGTGTATGTGCTTGCTTCACCTGTTTGGCGGAGGGCGTCATGCCCATCTGGACTACAATGATGGCCCGGGTGATGTTTTCTTCTTGCATACGCTGGCAATACATCTTTATGGTTTTGATGCCAACCTTTGGTTCCTCTGAAAGCAAAATAACGGTTAGATCTGATACAACCGTTCAAAATAAATCAATCGTTCCTCAACAGTGGGTTTATGGATGAGTTAAACACTCAGGAACAGGGCTGTTGCTGAAGATTCCACACACCAGGGAAGAACACAAACATCTGGTCGGTCGGGTCGTCGTTGTGGGCGACCAGGACCGTGAGATCGGTTCGTCGTGGTCGACCTTCGCTGGGTTTGTCTCCAAACTGGCTTCTGAACTCCTCGAGAGTCTGATCCAGTTCATCTTGCGTCACCAAATAACCGCGATCGTGACAAAGCTGAAAGACCAAGTTAGAGATTAGAAGGACGTAACATATTTCTGTTATTTGGATGCGTGCTGTATTTTGGGAGATCACAAATCATGGCACTCCAGAGGACCCGAATAAGCATCACAATAATCTGTCTACGCAACATGGATCACACTATAAAGTTATACGGCTTTCATTTACCTGCATTATAGTTTTTCTAATTTTCCATAGTCTGTAAGTCTCTTCCTCGTCATCCATATCGCGCCCAAAAGAGGATTAACACACAAATATCACGCTTAGTCGATCCTTTTGCTCCACGTTTGTGTCCCGTTTCTGCCGACGCGTGTCTATGACGTCAGACGTTACGCCGCAACGCGCACTTTGATTTCGTGTGTACAAAACAATACGCAGTTTAGTTTTTTGTTGTTGTTGTTGTAAATATATAAGCTTTTACTTTTCGCTTTCAAGCAATACAATGTGTTATGTTGATAAAAGTTCAAATAAAAGCGATTTTAAAATAGGTGGTTTGTTAGTTATATACAAAATAAATCTTATATATATTATGTTGGTGTTTATTTCGTTTGGAAACCAATAAGGAATGGGAAGAGGTTGTAGAACATTCTAGAAAAAGGTCCGATTATCCGCAATGGCATGTGGGAAGTGCGTGTGTGATTTCTTCAAATTGGTTCTTTTGAACAATTCGTATCAAAGAATCGATTCATAAAATGATTCAGTGATTCCTTTTGTCGTTTCTATCATGCTAATATTTAGAGCATATCACATGCTCTAAAACCTTCAAATAGAGCACGAAGACACATATTGTGTCTGTTATTATGGGGTTTGATTAGTTACGTTTGATTAATTTAGCGGAGTTTATTGTAATTTCAAGTGTTCCCGTTCGGCTCATTACGAATCATACTGTTAGCAAAAACCGGTTCAATGAGTCCACTTCATGAACCGTTCCGTTACCTGATTCATAGAGAAGAATCGACTCTAAAGAACGATTCATTGAAGAGTCATCACTACTGGACGTTGGAAAGCGAAAAGATCAAAAAATGGCTTTTATTCATCGTTTGTTGCTGTTCGGGGCTTTATCAAGCAGTGGGATCATTGGTGCAATGGTATCGTAAAGTTGAATAGGCCTACTTCTGTAACTTAAACTTGCATATCTGAATCATATTACGTAATTTGGCAATTATGAGGTTATGTGCTGCATAATTACGGGGGTTTTGCAAATGTTTTATCATCAGTTTACACAATCAGTCCTATTGTGCAAGATGAGGTCTAGTTTCAGTGTATTTAAGTTAGGTCTTTTGTCTTTGTGTCTCATTCTTCCACAACAGTATCAGTTCACTTTTTCCGTTGTATAAATAATGCGCAACAACGACAATAATAATCTAATGTAATAACAAATTGTATCTATTGGTCCATCTTCCAATATCCATCTTTTGGCATACATTAGCAGAAACTTGGTTTCATAAGATCAGCTTAGTAAAAGACAGGGTTGTTGTTTTTCTTCTTCTTTGAAACATGTATTGGCTGCAAAATGGTAAAAAAAAAAAAAAAAAATGGTATTTTGATACATAAAACAAATACTATTACATTACGTGTTACCTAAAAGAACAGCATGTCCAGAAAATTACATAACCTTGGTTAGTGTACAAAAAATGCCATGAACAAATGGCAAAAAACATACGTACTAAGACAGCTAATTATGACCATAAAGTCGAAATTATAACATACTAAGTCATATTAATGTCAGAAAGTTGAAATTATGATGTAAAAAGTCAAATTATGACCCAAGTCAAAATTATGATGTACCAAGTCATATGAATTAAAAAATTCAGTATAATTATGACAAAAACTAATGACTTGTCTTTAGTCTTGACATAATCATCTCAATTTCTTCAAAAGTATCTCAATTTCAAACTTCTATGCCATGATTGTGGCTTTATCTCATAATTTAGACATTTTCCTTCATAATTATAACTTAGTATGTCATAGTTTGACATTTTTATCTCATAATTATGGTTTTTATCTCATAAATATGACTTGGCATCTCATAGTTTGACTTTTTTATGTCATAATTATGACTATCTCATAATTTAATGAATTTTAATGATTTTCCTCAGAATAGTTTCATAGTACTTTTTTGGTGATGTTAATATATTCATGACTATTTTATTGCAATTAGTCAAACATTGTTTTATTTATTATTACGCTATTATATATTTATTATTAGCCTTTCATTCCATAATATCTTTGTGGCATGAGTCCATTCCTGAAGTCAGTGACTAATCAATATCCACGGGAAATATCATGTTCACTATTCTAGTACACTTTAGAAGCAGTATAATTTACTGTATATAATGCAAACATCAGCCACTTTTCTGGTATGAGGACAAAGTGCCAACACGCACATTAAGCTATCAGTTTTCTCGGTTGTGTAAGATCGTCACCCAGTGACCTTTGACCTCAGTAGGAGTTACGGTCAAATAAAAATCAACCTATAAGGAGGAAACAGCCTCTGTCAAGTTAATATTTATTTGGAGCCCTATATATGAGGGTCTTTCAGTGTTCTGGAGATTTGGTGTACTTTAAGAGAATTTGATCTAATACGCTGCCTGCCATTTCAGTAGTTAGTACTGAAAGGCAGTCATGCGTTTCTTAGGGCCCGCTGTCGTTTTCTCCATAGTGTTGCAGACAATGGTAAGAAATGCTCTTAAAAGCCCATTATTTTAAAATGAGTTAATAACTTACCAGTTTTTCAGTTGCGGTTGGAATTTAAATATAGAGATTTGTATCTAATATTTGTTTGAAGGTGTTACTAACAGTGTTCCTTTTTCTTTACGTGTGTATATGTATTCAGATGCATCCTATTTGTTTACACCAGCATGTTTTTGTTTTTAGTCTGCACAGCTAGAAGACTGGCAGTCAGCCAAATCCATTTATGAATTCACTGCCACGGATATAGACGGCAATGAAGTTTCCCTGGAAAAATACAGGTGAGTGATGGAAATCAGCATGCCAGCAGTACAATTGCTTTTTATTTCACCTCAAGGTATAAAGTCTGTTTGTTCAAGTATGAAAAACATTACCGTGTAGTAGCAGTCTAGACTGAGGAGTCAGTGCTAGTTGACAAAAGTCTGAGCCCGTCTGCAGATTTTGGGCTGTCGGAGTCAACCTGTTTCTATGGAAGCCCGTTTCCACATCAACTTTGGTTCCCAATCAATGACATACTTAGTCATATTTATGGCATAAAAAGTTGAATTGTGATATAAAAAGTAGTGCTGTCAAATCGATTAATATGTGTGTGTACTGTGTATATTTGTGTATATATATAAACATACATGCATATATTTAAGAAATATTTACGTGTGTGTGTGTGTATAGATATATGTATGTGTATATATGTGTATTTATATATACTATACATATAAATATACACAGTACACACACATTATGTAATCACAATCGTGATTTATCACGATTAATCGATTTGACAGCACTAATAAAAAGTCATAAATACGATATTTGAAAAACTGAAATTATGATAAACTATTGCAATAAAATGTCAAATGTGACAAAAAGTCAAGATTATGAGACCATAATAATAATTGAAATCATAATTGACATTTTTTACTTATCATAATTATCTTTTTGTCTCATACTTTTAACCATATATATATATATCTATCTCAGAATTATGTCTCAATTTTGTCTTTTTATCTCATAATAATGACTTGGTATTTAATAAAAAAAAAAAATTCTCTCAATTAGGATTCACTATCATAATTTTGACTTTTTTTTTTTTTTCCCCTCATAATTGACTTAGTATCTCATAGTTTCACATTTTTGTCATGATTATGGCTTTATCTCAGAATTTTGACTTATAAGTATAATTATTAGTGAGTCATAATGTCGACATTTAATCTCATAACTATGACTTAGTATGTCACAACGAGGCACATGCTTCTGCATGAATCTGGTAGTAGTGTGTTACAGAATCCTCAGTCTGTATGATTGGATGACACCTTGTTGCTTTAGTGTCAATCAATTTGTAACTCTAACAAAATCTAATTGATTGTATATTTCAGGGGGAAAGTTGTCATCATCACTAATGTTGCCTCAAAGTGAGGCAAAACACCGGTAAACTACTCTCAGTTTGCAGAAATGCACGCCAAGTACACTGAGAGAGGTTTACACATCCTGGCCTTCCCATCCAACCAGTTTGGACATCAGGTACGGGGAGCAAAAACATTTTTAATGCTCTTAAAATGTATAAATACTGTGATCTAATAATACATTTTTTGTTCAGGAACCAGGAACAAATTCCCAAATCAAGGAATTTGCCAAGTCTTACAACGCAGAGTTTGATATGTTCAGTAAGATTGATGTGAATGGCGACTCCGCACACCCTCTGTGGAAGTGGCTGAAGGAACAACCAAATGGGAGAGGATTCTTTGGAAAGTGAGTCGGTTGCCAGATAGTTGAACTTAGTTGACTTGTAAATTCTGTGTAAATAATTGCTTATTTAATATCAGCTAAATCAATTCAAGCGATAATCCTCCCAAAAATTAAACTTCTGTTACTCTGTGGAACTTAAAATAAGATATTCTGAAGAATGTTAGTAACTAAACTGTTTCAGTTCCCATTCATTTCCATTGTTCTATTGGCCATATAATGAAAGTTAATGGGAACAGAAACTGTTTGGTTACCAACATTCTACAGAATAATCTTATTTTATGAAAATACAACAGAAGAAAGAGAGTCATGCAGGTTTGGACTGACATGAGTGAACTATCCCTTTAAAGGAATAGTGTACCCAAAAATAAATAAAAAAAAAATGCTGAAAATGTGTTCACATTTAGGCCATCAAAGATGTAGATGAGTTTGTTCTTCATCAGAACAGATTTGGAGAAATGTAGCATTACATCACTTAGTCACCAAAGGATCCTCTGTAGTGAATGGGTGCCATCGGAATGAGAGACATCACAGTAATCCACACAACTCCATTAATTAATGTCTTGTGAAGCAAAAAGCTGTGTGCTTGTTAGAAACAAGAAATCCTTTATCTATAATATTGCTTCATTTTGTCTGAATCAGGAGAGAAATATGCACAGATCAAGCAAAAACAGTTCTAAAGAAATATGTGAGAAGACAATAGCAGATGGACTTTTTCACTGGAGGAAACGTTATTATTGATTATGGACTGGAATTTTGGCCAGAAGCGACGGTTTAAAACTAAAACGTCCTAATGATGGATTTCTTTATTACAAACACAAAGTTTTTCGCTTCACTAGATATTAACTGGTAATGGACTGGAGTGGTGTGGATTATCGTGATGTTTTTATCAGCTGTTTGGACTCTCGTTCTGACGGCACCCATTCACTGCAGAGGATCCACTGGGGAGCAAGTGATGCAAAGCTCCATTTCTCTAAATCTGTTTTACATTTTGGATGGCCTGAGTGTGAGTACATTTTCATCAAAGTTTCATTTTTGGGTGAACTATCCCATTAATAGAGCTGCACTAGAAATTGTTAACTTCTCTACTGACTGTTGTTTTTATTCCATTATAGTGGCATCAAATGGAATTTCACTAAGGTTTGTGCATTTCTTTCCCTTTGAATTATGCTAATTAAAAGCATGTTATGACTTAAACCTTGTATGTTAAATATGAATACTTATTTACTAATTATTCAAATGATTACAATTGTTTAATTTGCTATCAATTTTTGTGTTTTCTTTTCAGTTCCTGATTGACCGTGAAGGCCATGTTGTGAAGAGATACTCCCCTTTGCAGGATCCAAGCGTACGTTGTTCAGCTTCTATTAATGTTTGATTGTATTTCAATCTGGTTTGAGTCATAAACTAAGGCATGTTTAAGATTAGCTACAGTATCTAAATATCACAGTGATATTGGCACACAAAATGTATTTTTTTTTGTTAAATATTGATCTTTTAGGTGGTGGAGAAGGATCTGTCTAAATATCTCTAAGGAACATCATTAGCTGACTGTCAAATTGCCGCCCAGCCGGCCCTCTTCATTCTCCCCGACTGATAGCTGGGTATCAGTGATGTCGTCTCATGGACTAATGATGGTTTGTTTGCAAACCCCTCTTGAGGAAAGAACAGACCTGATGCATTTGGCGTGCAACCCCTCCTGAGAGCATCATCAGTGCCCAGCATCACTCTGGAGAGAGACCCCCGCTCCTTCAACTGCCCCTATGCTTTGAAAAGAAAATATGCACATTTATTTAGAGCTAAACATGTTGTCATAGTGTAACATTTCTTAATAAACGCAAAGAGATTCATTTGAACATGTGTTGGTGTTATGTTGATATCAGTGAGCAGGTGTTTTAGTGTTTACTACATTTTTAAAAAAATGAAACGTTGGTTTGGCAGTTCGCTAAAATAAATTTTTTTGTTTTCTATTTAATTTAATTTTTTTCTCAATTAGATTTCAGTTAAAGTTTATTTTAAAGTTAATTTGTTTCAACTTTTAATTATTTTTAAATTGGTTTAGTTTTTAACCATAATAATCCTACTATTTTTTTTTTTTATATATATATATATTTTATATAATGATTGCCTAGGAAAACTATAAAGTCAGCTTAATATTAAGAATTCTCGTAATCATATTTTTGTAATTATTATATTATATTATTTAACATTTTAATTAAATCGTATATATATATATATATATATATATATATATATAT